GAAAACCAGGAGACCAAAAGGCCAAGGGACCAGGGGACCAAAAGAACCAGAGGACCAGGGACTGCGGAGCCCCTAATTTTCTTTTCTAGGAATCCTAGATTCTTTTTCCGGTATCATCCCTCCTTCGCGTTCTTTGCGTCATCCCTGTGACAGGTGATGCAGCGGCGTCATGCGAACAGCATCAAACAAGGAAAACAGGGTCGGGCTGCTTCATGGACATGGCGGTTGCAAAAGGCGTGTGAGGTCTTGACTTTAAGTGATCTTGAGCAGACCCTGAATGTTACAGAGGTACACTATTGCTCCTGGCTGGAAGATGTGGCCTTTCAAAGAAAATCGGCCGAGTACCTGTGGATGCTGGTCTGTATCGCAGGCGCTGTGCACAAAATGCGCTTTTTGTCGACATGGCTCTTGTTCTTGCTGGGGCAACATGCAGCAACTCACACGACTTGCGGTTGTGGAGGGTGTGATTGTGGTGCTGGCCTACTTGTTTGGGAGCCAGTGCGCCATGTTTCTCATCAGATTTTTAACACAGAAGGATTGAGTGCCTACTTATGGCTACGACCCAGCAGGCTTGATAATCTTGATATGTGATTCATGCACCAAACAGAAAGAGTAGGTATCACTAGTGCATGCGCTACCTCTGAAAACTCCTTGACAAAGAATCTTGCAACACGCTCATCAATGACCCAGTTCTAGGATAGCTGGTTGTCATTTTGAGATTCCTTCAGACATCCAGATTCTAGACCCTGAGAGTTTTCTGACCTACCAAACTGATGACCAAATACCGGGGATTGTAAACTTCTAATCAGAGTTTTGAGCAAAGCTCCACTCCACGCCTGTTGCAGTGCCAGGTACTTTGTGAGTGGAGCACTGATTGACCTCATGACATATCTCTGGGGCCGGCGGAATCCAACGGCAAGAATGCAGGTCGAGTTGTTGGTTGCAGATGGTGTCATGCGAATGTGATCCCCAAGGCTACCAGTGATTGAAGGGCGTGTGCTGTTTGCGATCACTGGGAGATTTTTGAACATGGCTTTCGACCCGTGCCACTTTAAGGAGAAGCCAATCAACCAGATCACAAACATGCTGCCAGGTGCTGTTTTTCACCATCCGCACGCCATATTTGCCCTGGGTGCCTTGTCCTACTGGCTACTTGCCTACTGCTTGGTTGATTAGATGAGGGGCCAACCGTTCAACCCTCAGTTTCACTTGGGAAACATCATCATCATATTTCTGTTTACAGTGGTTTGTAGAGTGATGTGTAGACCTTTCCAAAACATCAGAGGCACAATGAAATGATGAATGGTATACCAGACCGGCCCAAATCAATCTATTTTTCCATATTTTTTGTCCGTTTCAGAACATTGCCTCGCTGAGGTTCTCTCATGGATATCCCTTCTGATGGGAGGCACGTGGAGAAAGCCGAACTAAGAGAGATTTTTTTCGCAGATGGCATATTTTTTTGCCGTTGGTTCTCCTGGGAGGTAACGTCCAGGATGGGGAGCAGATCTGGTTCCAGAAAATGGTCAGGTAATTCCATCCATAAAATTGGCTTCCGACACCAAAATCTCATGATAAATGAAGAGTACGAGATCTAGAGTCAGCGTCAACCCTGGAGAATTCCGACAGCAAGTGGGGTGCATGATGATCATCCAAGATGTGGCTGATTGGAAAGTACTTTGAGACGACGACGAACACGACTTTGGGGGGAAATTTTCCCTTTTCAGGACCAGCTTCTTGGACTCGTGGTGGGTCATACCTACTTCTTCTTCGAGGAGTTGGTTGCGAATCGGGTGATCCCAACTGTGCGATTTGTGAAACCTCCAAAAAGGGCTTTCGCCTTTTCCGGACGCCAAGACTGAAGATGGCCGGGCGAAATTCTGTCCGGCGGCCTTTTCCCTGTAAATTTCCGTGTAAAGTGGCTCTTCTGACATGTTGATGTCCGTTTCGACTGCACAGGCTCGCACAAAGTCTGCGGCGCGGTTTTGGTCTGCGGCATTTTTCCTGTAAATTTCCGTATAAAGTGGCACTTGTGCAATGTCCATCCAAGTGCAGTTCGACTGCGCAGGCTTGCACAAAGTGTGGCGCGCGGTTCTGGGAAGGGGCGTTTACACACAGAAGAGCTTTTACACAGAAGAGCTTTTACACACAGAAGCTTTTACACGGAAGAGCCTTTACACAGAAGAGCTTTTACACAGAAGAGCCTTTACACACACCGAAGAGCTTTCACACACAGAAGAGCATTTTACACAGAAGAGCTTTACACAGAAGAGCTTTTGCACAGAGAGCTTTTACAAAAAGAAGAGCTTTTACACACAAGCGCTTTTACACAGAAGAGCTGAGCTTGTGCTTTTACACACAAAACTTTTTACACAGAAGAGATTTACAAAGAAGAGCTTTTGCACACAGAAGGTTTTACACAGAAAAGCTTTTACAGAGAAGAGCTTAAACAAACAGAAGCTTTTACACAGAAGAGCTTTTACACAGAAGAGCTTTTACACACAGAAGAGCTTTTACGCAGAAGAACTTTTACACACAGATACTTTTACACAGAAGAGCCTCTACACAGAGAAGCTTTTACACACAAGAGCTTTTACACAGAGAAGCTTTTAGACAGAAAAACCTTTACACAGAGAAACTTTTACACAGAAGAGCTTTTACGCACAGAAACTTTTACGCAGAAGAGCTACAGAAGAGTTTTTACACACAGAGGCTTTTACACACAAGAACTTTTACACAGAAGAACTTTTACACAGAGAATCTTTTAGACAGAAAAGGTTTTACACAGAAGAACTTTTACATAGAAAGCTTTTACACAGCTGTTACAGAAACTTTTACACAGATTAACTTTTACACAGAGAAGCTATTTCACAGAAGAGCCTAGAAGAGCTTTTACACAGAAGAGATTTTGTTTTACACACAAGAGCTGCTGCTGTTACACAGAGAGCTTTTACACACAGAAGCTTTTGCAAAGAAGAACTTTTACATGCAGAAACATTTACACAGAAAAGTTTGTACACAGAAGAGCTTTTACACACAGAAACTTTTACTCGTTGCCATCGTCACGGTAAATTGGCAAAAACCTATTCATTTGCCATCCCCGTGCACCTCATCATCCTCAACATCATCATCCTGATCCTCATCCTCATCCTCATCGTCATTCTCATCATCATGATCATGATCATGATCATCATCACCACCATCATCATCACCATCACCACATCATCATCATCATCATCTTCTTCATCATCATCATCATCAACATTATCATACATGATCCTCCCACCCCCCACACTGTTTGGGGTCTCTTGCCGGGATAATATTCCCATCTATGCACATGTAGATCATAGAACGGATTTTTGAGAACACCTGCTGGTCTTCAGACATTTCAAACCTGTTTGGGCAATGAGCTGCAGCCCACATTCTTTGACTTGGAAGAGGTTCTGGAGCAGGGTTCTTAGATTGGTGCCTCGCACGCAGGACGTTTTCTTTTTCGAGGCAATCAAGTTGCCTTACGATCCGAGGCGCTTTTGCGCCACAAAAAACAACATACATAACCTGCAGTGTTCAGTGAGACTGCAATGATCCAAAATGATATCGTACATATTCGTCCATATTCGTCCATATTATGTTCACGACGCTTTCACTCTCTGGCTGAACATATTCACATATTTCACAAGCATGTGGCTTCCGCTCGAAGAGACTAGCTGTTGTGCCCAAGGCAGGACTTCGTAATGGTGGAAATCCGGCAAGTCCACCTGCCACTACACTTAGGGTTCGGGGATGATTGGGTTGGCAGGCCGGGCGTTGCTGCCGTGTGCCATGGGTAGCAGCCAGAACCAGGCTTGATGAGAACGTTCTTCCGAGTCAGATGGATTCACAGGGTCTTGAGTCTTGAGCCCAAAAAACACTTTCCGGACTTGGTAAGCACTTTTCCTGTAAATTTCCATGTGAAGTGGCTCTTGTGACATGTTGATGTGCATTTCGACTGCGCAGGCTCGTACAAAGTGTGCGGCGCGGTTCGGTGCAGCGGCATTTTTCCTGTAAATTTCCGCATAAAGCAGCTGTTGTGACATGTTGATGTGCATTTCGACTGCGCGGGCTCGCCCTGGGATGATGATCCCCAATGACGAGCATACTTTTACAAACATGAAACAAAGGCATGGCCAAGGCCCAGTCCCTTTTTTTGAGAGGTGAGGCATGGCATGGCTGTTTTTTACGTTGAAGGCTGGTGACCTGCTTCTTTTACCTGGGCACCTTCAGCTTGCCCTACTGCTGGAACCTGGGCCTTGGTGCGCTGATGGGATGTTACTCCGCATATCTGTGAGTGAAATAACTAGGACTGATCTGACTGACCTGTGACAAGGTCAAACTGTTTGAGGCCATTATTTCCCTAATTCAGGATACGGTTGTCACGACGCAGGTTTGATCCCTGTACTTTGCAGCTTAGCGGATTGGCTTCTTGAAGACGACTTGAAATCTCTTGCCAGTACGAGATTTCGCAGGCACAACATGATTTGTCATGTTGATCTTCTTCCACGGTTATGCTATGGGAAAGTGAGAAAGGTGTTTTGTTTTTGTTTGTGTTTCACACATTGCTGAACTTCTATCTCATCAAGTTCACCCGCTGCAAGAAATTTCGGTGGTAAGCGTGTAATCAGACTTTTCTGTCTCGACCTTCTGTGTTTTTTGGTGTAGCGTTTGGCTTTCAGCAGCCTCGGGCGAGTGTTTTGCCATCAGTGTCAAGGGTGTGGCACATTCGCCCCGGGTGCTTGGCATTTTCTCAATCTCATGGAGCAGGTGAAACTAAGCAGCTCGATCCCAGACTCGTAGCGATTGAGATTTGATTCGACATTTGTGCATCGTTTGCCCAGCAGCGGTATACTGTGATAAAAAAGTGCAGGAAGAGGCGTGTTTTGCCTCGTTGACAAGTTGAAACCAAAGGTATATCCGTTGGACTCGCATTCTCTGGATGCCTTCTAGACTCCAAGTCCCTTGGCTGTACTTGCGCTGTACATCAGTTGCACCACGAAACGAACTGTGCTTCTTCCAAGAAAATTGTCGTCCAGTGCTGCCAGTTCCCTACTGGAGAGAAGTCATCCGAGCAGCATCCATACACCCAAAAGTCTTCGGATGAAGGGCGGTTCAAGTAGCATACCTTCGCAAGAACTAAAACCACGGTTCCTCAAATGCATTAACTTCGCAACAATGTATGAAAAACTCAGCCGGCCGCAACAATGTACGAAAAACTCAGCCAGCCGTGAAGGTTTGCGAAAGTAGTTTTGCAATGAGTAGGCAGCACCAAAGAGAAAACCCGCGACACGAGGCTGCTGCAAGAGTAATGGCGACAGAAGGGGGCCACTTGAACCAATCCACAGACCGACTGGACAGTCGCTTCCAATAGTAAGCCTGTTCATATGTCTATATGCAATGTAATCTAAGAGCGGGTTGCATCAAACCTGAAAGGCACCACAATAGCACGGGGCTTGGGAGTTCTGGATGTAAAATGTCCTGATGAGTTCAAAGAATAATTCTTCTGCATTTTGCACGAAATAGGGCCTGCTTATGCTTTCTGAATGGCAATGGTTGCTCCGGAGCGGGCACTGAATCTGTGATCCCATGTTCCTCAACATGTCAGGTATAGAAAACAGCTTTCAGCCATCGGCAAACTATTGGTGTCTGATTGATACTTCCGTTGTTGATATGTCCCAGAGCTCTCGAGCTCTCGAGTCTGGGCAGCTTTGAACCGCGGTCAAACTGTCCCAGGGAGGCCGCGAGGCCTCAGAGAATGAAGGCCACTGAGGCCACTAAGGCTTCAAGAAAAACCCTTGTGACTCCATCCTCCAACATCCTCCAACTAAGCCTCGTAAACTTGTTGTTCTCGAAGAATTTCGGAACACACTGCATGAGCAGGGTTTTTTGGCTCT